GCCCCAGCCCTCGGCCCCACCCCACTCGAACCCCGCATAGGCGGATCCAAATCGCCCAACATCTCCAGCCACCCCGCCGCATCATTCGCATATCCTCCTCCACCTCCCCCACCACCCCTCCCACTCCCACTCCCAGGCGGATACCCCATCGGCGCACTGACAGGCCACTCGAAGCTCAGCGGGTCGCCCGGCTCGGGCGGCTCGAGCAGGCTGGCAAGTTCTGCGCCCGTAGCTGTGCCGTTTATACAGTCCGCGAGTATCTCGTCAGCCGTGCGGCGTCGGGATCCGCTGCTGCCCGGTGGATGGGATATGCGCGGGAGGCGGTAGGGGTCGGGCGGGCCGTAGGCGTAGGGCGGGTAGTGCGGTGGTGGGGGTCGCGGGTAGGAGGGGTGCGGGTGGTGCGGGTGATAGTAGGGCGGTAGAGACATGCCGAGGCCGAGGCTCATGGGTGGGGGCAGGGAGGAGAGGTCGAGGTCCATGCGGAAGGGGTAGCCGGATGGGGGAGGCGAGAGGCGTTGGCGCTTGGACGGGTGCGAGCTGCGAGGGGGCGATCGCGAGCGGTTTCGCGAGCCGGCGTCTCGGTCCCTGTCCTTTGATCGAGCGTGGCGGTCTGAGCCGCGTGGGGCGCTGGAGGTAGAGGCGCGGTGGGGCGCAGATGGGGGCGAAGGCGAAGTCGAGACACTGGGTGATGGCGGAGGGTGCGCCTCCTGTAACATTAATTAGTAACATTATCCAAGAAATAGGGCATGTGGTATGTACCTCAGCAGCCGTAGGAGGTTCCTTCTTCACGACAGTAGCCGCGGCAGATGCTGGTGCGGCAGCCTTCGCCTTGCCCTTCGACTTGGACCCCGCAGAGCCAGATGACGCAGCCGGCGCAGACGACGACGCGGCGGGTGCGACGGGCTGCGTGGCGAGCTCGTCCGCCTCTCCATCGCCCTCGTCGTCTTCATCGTCGTCCGCAACAACAACTCCCTTGCCTCCAGGCGCAGAGCCATTGAAGTCGGCTGGCCCTTGCAGATTACGCTCGCCCTCGAACTAGACATCTTAGTCAGCGACAGTACGTTATAACAAAGAGGGGCAAGACGTACGCGAGCCTGCTTGTTTATGATAGCCTGAGCATCGCCCGAGGAGTACTGGAACAGCTTCTCAGAGCCCTGCCTGCGTTCTGTCGCGAATCCAACTCGAACGTCAGCCAAGCACTCCAGCAATCCAGAAATAGCCCGCAGAAGACGCACCGAAGATGATAACGGCGACGTCGACGCTGCACAGCACGCCGAGCTCGTACGCCTTCTTGAACAGCCCTTGCTTCCTCTACGTACATAGCGGTCGAGATGAATGATGAGGGTGTTGTGAGAGAGCGGTCGAGTGGCGACAGGGATCACAGAAATCCCGTCAGCCAAAAACAGCGTGCAGGAAAGGCTTGGCATACCTTTAAAAAGGTCACCGCACGGTTCCGTTCGTTCTGTGCCCATATAAACGCGTGCGTCCATCAGTACGAGCGGTCCATACAGCTGTGCGCCGCCCCTATGTCCCGCGGAGAGCGGAGGGGACGGCGAGGGCGAAATACGCACGGTTATGGGCTGGATCTCGATCTTCCTGCGACCCATGGCTTCGTTCGACTGGACTGGAGTGTTTCTATTCTTGTATTCTTCTGTTCGCGGGCGGAGCTGCCGGTCGCGCTCTTGGCTCTGGATGCTCTTGGCGGAGGGGAGCAGGCGGGCGTTGGTGCACAAGGGAGCTGGCGGTCAGACTCAGTCCGGACTGGGCTCTGTCACCGCGCGCCGAAGCCCATCAAAGGCACGCGGATCCATATCCGCCCGCTCGGATGCGCAGGCGCGCGCTCTCAACTCCTCCCGTTTCCTTATTTTGGTGCGCAGACGGCCAGCCGCTATTGGCTCTGTATTCACGGGTATGGCTTCGCGCTGCTGGTATTTCTGGGAGTGCTCAAGATACGACAGCGAGAAGCTGGCGGTGACAGCTTTCGGGTGTTCGTTTCTTCAATCTCGGACCTGGGACCGCCGTGTACATCCCATGAGCACACACGCCACCCCGCAACCGCGCGCATCGGCATCTGTCGGCCGCAGCTGGGGCGTACGTTCTCTCGCTCACGCTCGGCGTGGACACTGGACGTCGTGCCGCGCGTCATCCTCGCACGGCGCGTTCGCACCTCTGAGTCTGCATGCATTCACATCTGCAGCATATCACATATTTGGCCAGCTGGAGGCTCTCTGCACCTCAAGAGCTCGCAGGAGCCAGCGAACGGACTTGCGAACATGGCGCGTCCAATGTCAGAATCCAACACCGACGGGAGTCGACTGCGCCCGCACCTACTTCCCCATCCGTCCACTTTCAGGTCCAAGCGCTTCTTCTACGGCCGTTTTCTCCGAGCGCTGCCTGTTGGCCGCGGAGTCGCGGACAAGGATAGCGAGACAAGAATAGGACGGCCAAAGGACGGCTCTGCGAATAGCGCGGGCTAACTTGAGCAGGGCGTATTTTTGGATGCGACGACGTGCCATGGCCACTCTTGACAAATGAATGTGGGGAGACTGGTTTTCGGGCCGGCACGTACCACTCACGCTTTTCTTGAGAAGCAGGCGAATATTAGGGTGCGTTCGGCAAAAACGAAGGCCTTCGAAATCTATGACTTTTGGCCTGACTAAGCCTCCTGATTGGCCAGAAAGCTCTCGAAGGACTTCAAGTTTCGTCAGAATTGCCTTGTTTGGGCAAAATATCATGATTTTCGTCATCGTTCATTTTTGCCGAACGCACCCTTATTATCGCGGCTGGGTTCTCCGGCGCGTACACTTCTCAACGCTCTCCCAACACCTCAAAACGCAAGTGCACCAGTTTCAAGCGCGCATCCTCGTAACGAACTCCCCGATCGACACATATACAACTCCGCACGACCGCCAAGTCAGTCCCAGTCATCTCGACCTCGGACCAGGATGCGGGGCTCGCTCAGTTCTTCCATAGGTTGACGTGCTCACCAGCGGCGATAGTGCTCTGTCATAGCGTTTCAGCCGGCAACTGGGGCCGCTTCGAGCACAAAGCCTTTGGCCGGGAACGATATAGACAAGCCTGGCGCGCTACGCCCTTTCATCGGCTGCGACGCACGCTCTTCGCGAGACGTCAGTTTATTGCGTCTGTATTGATCTATGTTGGCACCGTGTGCAGTCCCTACCTCGTAGACATAACTGTAATATGCATGGCGAAGCACCACTGTCTCCCCACCTCTTCCTGTCAGCACTTGCTCCGCACTTGTATAAAGATGTTGAGAGAGACCACCGTACCATTGACCCCATGAGTATGGAGAAAAGTGGTACTTGATGAGAAAAACACTGATTCGTAAGAAGATCATATTGTAAAAGCCAGTAAGGAGAGCAGCAAAAACACGAAGATGAGGTGAGGTGACTCATGGCCAGTGTGGGGATCGAACCCAAGACCTTCGCGTTATTAGCACGACGCTCTAACCAACTGAGCTAACCGGCCTGTACAATCATAAGCATACAAAAATATACAATTTTGACAGAACAAGCGGCGGCAGGTAAGTACGAAACGCGACTTTCGACGCGTGTCATCACGCGTCAGACTAGGCGTACACCACCAGCGCCTTTCCCCGCTGCTCCTTGTTCTTCTTTCTGGGTCAAAGATGTATATTGGTATACAGGTACCTGGGTCGTTGTGCTAGAAATAGCTTAAGCAGGTACGGCGATGGCCTTCTGAACGCCCACCGCGTGCGCGGGTCCCTGATGCACGCGAATGAGACGCCACCCAGCACCTTCGAGGAGGGCGCGCAGCTGTGCGACGGTCCTCTCCTTACCAGCCAGGTTGGCAAGCATCTATAGAATAAGTGGTCAAACAAAGGCCCAACATGGAGTTCTTCCGTACAGTACGTACCCTGATATCTGTCAAATACTGCACGGGGCTCAAAGCCGGCAGCAGCGGCGATGGCGGTAAAGGCCTTGCAGCGCCGGGAACGTCAGCGACACCATCGTCCGGGCTGAGATGACGGATTAGACTGTCGACTACGACTAGTTCGGTCTGAGGAGTGGCGGCCTCGCGTAACCGGACAAGGATGTCGGTGGCTTGCTCATCCGCCCAGTCGTGCAAGATGGCGCTCAGGAGGAAGACGCGTGCGTTCTTTTGGGGTTGACCGGCGAAGAAGTCGTTGGCTAACGGGATGGGTTAATCATGATACGGGAGAGATGAGAGCACGCACTGACCTTGGAGTACTACGCGGCCGGAAGATACAGCATCCGGCATATCTGACCAGAACTAGAGAACGTCAGCCAGAACGCGCTGATGATACACCGCAGACACACCTCCTTAGCCGCCTCAAGAACAGGCGCGCGATCTTGCACGACGATCTTCAGATGCGGATTCGCCTGAACAATCTTCTTCCCCTGCGTCCCCACACCGCCCCCAACATCAACGACAACAGCGCCCTCCTCAAGCCCAGCCCAGTCGTATCCCTGCAGCACAGCGTCCGGCGCTATAATGAGCTTTCCCGCCTGCATGGCCTTGGTGCAGCGTATCAGCTGGAGCTTGTTCTCAGGGAGCTCGTACCAGTCCCATGGGCTGAGTGGGGTGTTGAAGGCACGGTTGAAGGCGGTTTCGTTCGCGTTGGGTGAGGGCGAGAGGAGGACGTCGGCGAGGTAGCCGTGCGCGGTCATGGGTTCGGATACTAGGTGCTCCATCGCGGCTGCAAGACCGATTGTGTTGTCGTGCTTTGTCTCCGGGCTATCATACGCATGTGAGAACGCGCTCCCAGTCATAGAGAGAGCACACATAACGCACCTGGCGCGGATGTCTGTGACGCGCTTCCCAGTGTCGAGGAGAGTGCTCGCCGCATTGTGCGCGAACACGTCGGGTGCAACTTCCACGAAGATATGGTGTGCGCACAGAACGCGGAGAACTCTCGCTGGTAGGATACATGAGCGTTGCGCGCCTCATCAGGATAAGAAAGTACAGAACATACCAAGCTTGTCCGCATCTATACCGCACTCTTTCGCAACAACCCTCACATCCGCCCCTCCTCCCTCCCCATCATTCTCCCTTATCGCCTCCGCAACATTCCCCCTAGTCACAGTAGCCAGCGCAGCCGGAATACCAACAGCCATAGCCGAGTACGCAAGGAGGTTCATCGGTCCGCCGAGCGCGGCCACGAGCTGGTTTGCCGCAGCGCATCCGATAGAGCTCGCGGCGACGACTTCGGGAAGACGGCGAGGGGCCTGCGCGGCAAGCGTGGTGGGACCGCGGGTTGACGGGAAGGTTGTGTTGTGCTTTAGCATGGCGGCTTCGACTTGGTCGATGGAGTCTGTTATGAGGTTTGCGAGGGAGCGGAGCTCGACGAGGCCGTCGAGAGAGGAGACTGTATCTGTTAGAATCGAGCGTCAGATATTGCTTAAGTCTCGGTGAAGGGTCAGGGTCCTCTCACCGGCCATGGTGTAATCAGTCAGATACTTTCAGAATCCTCGAGACGCGAGATGGGATGAAGAACTGGTCCACCACCGCGTCTATAAGTACGGCCATACGGCCAGAGCTGGCCGATAGACACGCAAGTGAAGTGTATACAGGAATTGACCTCCGGCCGTTCGGCCGCCGGTAACATCTGAGGCAAGCAGAGGTAAGTAGGCATTGCGTCTAGTTGTACGGCTTCGCCGACAAAGCAGCTCAACGCGAAAGTGAGGACCGCATCGGTGATAGAACACGAGCGCGCGGGATGGTAGACGGTGAAGATCCCGGTGTTGGATAGGGATGAGCTGATCAAGTACACGCAGACATGCAAGCCCTACGATACTACAATACGCGCGTGTGTGCGGCTGTCGTTTGGTCTGGGGATACGTACGGGTATACACCCGGACCAAAGTCTCCGGCGCTGCCGAACGGCCTCGTCAACATAAAGAACAGGTGCCTTTCGCGCGTATGTGTTGGGGCCAGCAGATTCGATGCATGTGCAATTATGAGTGCAAAGTACAAAGTTGGTAGGGGATGCCGCTGGTTGACGTGTCAACATGGCGGTACGAGTCAAGCTGTAGCCATCAGCGGCGGCGTGAGATCAGCTTTCTGTGCAGTGGCGAGCCAGAACCGCTCTTGTCTAGATCCACCATCATCACACCGGGGATTGCTGAATGTGAATACACCATCGATCGTCCAGCCGACTCGACGCGTACGACGACAGTGTTAGACCGTCTAGCTCTGTCTATCTGTCCGGAAGGAAGACCCATATATCAATTTGGATGTGGTGCTGGCATGTGATGTAGGACTTCTACAGTCCCGCCCGCGAAGCCTTCTGAGGGCGCCTCGGCGTCTCATTACAACTCAGTCTTCAGTGTCTTGCCTATACAAAGCCACTCTCTCAGTTGAAGTGGGTAATCTTGCGATTGCGATAAGGACAGCCGGTGGCGATCTCTACCCTCTTACGCCTCTTAAGTCCCTGTGTCCTGCGGTCATCGTATGTCACCCTAAGACTGGCCTGGCTACGACCGTGGACACCGCGTTTTCAAGTTCCAATCTCCCCCAGCTTAGAAATACTGTTCAAGCGTTGGTAGGCGGTAAGTCATATAGTCCCCTCGCACCCATCTCCTGGTGACTAATCGCTGAGTATAGTTACGATGGCCGAGATATTCATGCGAGGAATCCCGTACAGCTCCGATCACATTCGCGTCAAGCGGGAGCTGGCCAAGGAGCTGCACAAGCATCCGTTTACCATGCACACGTCCTATCCGATCAACTTTTCCGTATGGCTTTTCAAGGACAAAAGCGGACGCGGGCGGCCTCATGGAGGCACGGGCACTCTCACGCTTCCAACTACCGCACTCGGCGAGGTCTTTCTGAATCTATTCGGGCCAGGAAGCGTGAGACCTGGGATCTGGTTAGATGGGAGGCAGGTTCTCTTCTCGCGCAGTAATCGACCCCCGCGCGGCGATGTCGTCGAAAGTATCGCACACGTTCCATACCAAGACCCCGCCGTTCTTGAGGCGCGACAGGTTCGGGAGGGCGAGTTCGCCAGCAAACGAGTCAACCTGCACTCCGTGCAATTCGGCTGGGACTGCCGGGACGACGTGTTCTCGTCTGAATGGGAATACCAAGCGCCTACCGGCCTCCCCGCATATTTGATGTTCAGCGACGATCCGCGGGAGCTTCGGGTTCACCTTGAACAAGACGGATCTACTCTGATGATCGCCATTCGCGTCCCTAGCATTCTCGCCATATCTGCTCATACTCTCGATAGGCCGACACGAGAGCACGCTGTATGGGTGCAACTGGCCACAGCGCCTCACTATGAGCGGCAGACGAAGCCGGTGGATCCCGACGATGACCCCGGATCCATGTCGTCGATGATTGCAGCCATCTTTACTATGCTAGATAAACCGGAACCTCGCCAGCGCCTTTCGTGCTTGCCTTTCGCCAATCACAATCGAGTTGTGGCCTTCACTTCACACGCTCTACGCCTTGTTCTTCGGTCCCAAGACGACCTCCAGACCTTTTGGGACCTGGCCGAAACTGCAGAGCTCCCCAAGTTAGGAGACTATCCAATCCCAGTTGAGGAGCGCGGCTTATTCTCCGTTGGCGCTCTCGACCTCGTGAGCGCGTGGCAGCGACGTTTAAGCCTCGGAATCGCTTTCCAAGTAGAGGGCATCATGCGCGCACTTCTCCTCGACGCGAGGGAGGTTCTCGCGGTCAGGCCACTGCTACAAGGCATCATCGCACGTCGCGGAGTGCCATATACTGTTGCGTTCTTGAAGTACTTTCGACTGCGACTGTGCACATGGTGGTCTGATTGGGAGTTCGAGAGCTCGAACTTTGACATTCGCGACTTCTTTGGCCAAGTGCGGAACGCCTTCGAGCAGCAGACGGCGCTTCCCGTACTCGACCCCCGAGACACAGATGTCGTGCAGACGATGCACGTCGTGATAACGCCCACGAGCATGGCCTTGGACGGTCCGTTCCCAGAACTCTCGAACCGCGTCCTGAGGACATATCCTCGCGAACATCACGAATGCTTCCTCCGGGTCACGTTCGCAGAGGAGGGTCGCGTTCCGTACCGTTGGGACCGGAACGTTGACGGCAGGAGGTTCGTCGACATGCGCGTGGGTACGATTCTTCGGCAGGGGTTGGCGATCGGCGGTCATCGCTTTGACTTCCTAGGTACGTGTAGGTGGTATAGATGAGCCATATGAACTGACTATCTGTCGAATAGCGTATTCAATGTCTGCCCTTAGGGAGCGCTCGGTTTGGTGAGTTATGATTGGCTCTATTCCTCTCGAAAGACGACCAACGTTTTGTAGGTTCTTGAAACCCTTCACATACACTGGTCAAGATGGCCAAACTGTCAGAGTGGATGCACCAACAATTGTCGCAGGATTGGGCACATTTCCATACGAGACCCTTCGATGCCCCGCTCGCTACGCTGCTCGTCTGTCTCAGGCTTTCACTGCCACGAATCAAATCCGCGTAGAGCTGGCTGAGTCGCAAGTCTTGCGCCGAGAAGACATATGGACACCCGACGGTCTTTACTGCTACACGGATGGTGTCGGTACCATCTCTTTGGAGCTGGCGCGGAGGATTTGGGCATACATGAACAGCACGAGGAAACGCGCTCGCCGTTCCCAGGGTACACCTCGCGCGTATCAGATACGCTTCCAGGGCGCAAAGGGCATGCTCAGTGTTGACTATAGACTCCAAGGCTCCCTTATCACCATACCGCCTTCCATGACGAAGTTCGAAGCGCCAGGACGCTTCATCGAGATCGCACAAGCGTTCACCACACCGTTCCCCTATACCTTCAACCGGCCGCTAATCATGCTCTTGGAGGGACTCGGCGTGCCCTATGAAGTGTTCGAGCGCTACCAAGACGCCGCCGTACAAGACGTGAACGACTCATCCCTGACCATCGCCGGTGCGGGCCGACTGTTCGAAAAGTTTGGTCTGGGCGCCAGCTTCCGTATGCCGTCTGTCCTGAACAGCCTCGCCAAGCTCGATGGACTTACGAATAACGGCTCACGTCCATTCTTCGAGAAGATCTTGCATTGTGCAAAGAACCACATCCTACGTGATCTGAAGAACTACGCGCGAATACCCGTACCTGGTGCATGGACCCTTGGCGTTGCGGATATGCATGGCGAGCTGGGACCAAACGAGGTGTACGCTTGTATACGGAAGGATGGGCAGACAGTCTACCTCGAAGGAGACGTTATGATCTCTCGTTCGCCTACCAGCCACCCTGGTGACGTGCAGATCGCGCATGCGATTGGGGCTCCTCAGCCTCATAGCTCGTTCTACCACGAGCGGTTGCCCAACATGATCGTATTCTCTGTCTGCGGTCAGTCTACTTGAACACGTCATCTGCTCTTCTGACGAGATCATCCAACAGGAGAACGCCCGCTGCCGTCATGCCTGGGAGGCGGGGATCTTGATGGGGATATCTACGATTGTGTACCGCTCCAGACCTGCCCCGGTGAGTACTCCTTGGCTTATATGGATCTTGTCAAACTCACACGGATGCGGTTACAGACCTTCGTCCGCGCCGCTTGCATGAGCCAGCGTCTTACACTCCCGTGCAGAAGAAGATGCTCAACAGGCCGAGTACAATGAACGATGTTGCAGACTTTGTGGTTGACTACATCAACTCAGACGTGAGTGGCGCTGACCCGATCAATGTTTTTTATATCTGACGGTCACATACGTGTAGGTCGTAGGACTAGTGGCGACACAATGGCTTATGATCGCAGACCAGAGCGAGGAAGGCATCTTTGATCCCGATTGCCTGACGCTATCGCAACTTCATAGCGATGCAGTAGACTTCCCAAAGGTGACTCCTCACCCTATAAGGCCGTTGCGATTATTGGCTTATATAATCTAGTCCGGTACAGCCGTGCAAGTCGACAGGATACCGAGGCTGAAGTTTAAGGAGAAGGTACGTGACTCACGCCGCAAGACGCTATTCCCGCTTTCATTACCTGGTAGCCCGACTGGAGTGCTGCTGAGACGATCAATCTCGAGAACTCAACGGCCTACTACGAGAGTCAGCGCGCGATTGGCAAGCTCTTCCGGAGGATAGAGCTAGCAGATGGAAAGTCCAAGCGTGAGAACCGACGGCAGCGCGAGCGCGTCCGCCGTACACGCGCCCAGCGAGTCGAGGATTTGACGGACGCTTTGGCTGGTATGACCCTCGGTGGCACAAGCGATGAAGTGGCGGCAGCCATCGAACATCGCGTTCATGAGTTCATCGATCTGCGCGCCGAAGCGCCGCGAGAGGTTCGCGAACATGTTGCGCGGCTATTCGAGAGTTACGCCTCGGAGTTACAGAGCATCTGTGCGACCCAGGTCATCTCGCATCGGCGCAACTCTATGTTATCTGAGGAAGAGGCCATCGCGGGAACAGTCATGGAGAAGACGGCGATCAAGACGAAGCGTAAGGAGGTTCTCGGAAAGCTGCGCGAGCACACCGATCACCTCGTACGCGGCACCCGCGTCGAACTGGATGCCAAAGAGGATGAGCCGTTGGATGTTGCGCTGAGACGGAGCTGGGTTGCTTGGACGCTATCGGTCAAGAAGAAGAAGCTCTTCGGCGCGCAGAGCTTCGGGATCATCGCGCTCGGGTCGATTTTTGAGACGATCAAGGAGATCGAGGCGGCACAGTCTGACGAGGAATAGTGGAATCCTGCGATATCGTTTCGGGCTTCTACTGCATATATTCTTATCATGTATGAATTCGAAGTGTACGAGTAGCGGCACGTCAACAAGTTTGCATCGGTTCTGGTGACGGCAGGCAGCAACAAGATAAACCCTAACCCCGATCAGACGCCGAAGCGCTGAGGCGCTCACAACAAACTTGTCTTCCGCTTCCATTCGGCTTTGGTCCCCGAAACGAAATACCCCTTCCTAATTCGTACATTCAAAGTGACCCTATGGCTGACGAGCCTGTCACGAAGCGCTTACACATATCTGGTCTCACGCCGGCTATAACTGCAGCTGATCTTACACGACGGCTAGGCTCATACGGAGCAGTTACAGCACTCGATGGTCTAGGAAAACGCGATGCACTGGGAAAGGAGAGACCATACGCATATGCTACGTTGGAAACGACAAAAGGAAAACTTGCAAAGTGCATGAACGTCCTGAGCGGCTCGGTGTGGAAAGGAGCGAAGCTACGGGTGGGCGAAGCGAAACCAGACTTCCGCGAACGGTGAGTTTGTCCGCCGGTTGTAACCATATATTCTTGGATATCGATATGAGATTTTGTCTGGGCCTTCTTTGCATGGGCGATGGCGCGAGTACTCGCGCGTACATCACTTTGCGGGGCTGTCCGAGAGGAATAACATAGGCGCAAAAATCATCTTTATCGCATTGTCATTCTTC